ATACTGAAATTTAATTGCTATCCATTTTTTCTGAATCAATAATCATTAATAAATGATCTATTAATTATTACGAATCAATGATATAAATTATTAGAAATTAGTACCAACATTTATCAAATGTTGATAAAATCATTTATCAGATATTAAGTGTTAATGATAAATTTTCTTACTATTCAATTTCTATATTATCCATTTAAAAGTATTTCATTAATTAATTATTATTTGCTCCTTTATTTTTTGAACATTTTTATGTCAATAATTAAATTTTTTTTTTTTTTGAAATTCCAGAATTACTGAAATTAGAATAGTGCTAATGTTGAGTAAATTCATTAATAGAAATTTTTGAAAATGATAATTCGAAAATTACTTGGAAAAACCATTTCATATTCTTGAAGATATCCAAAAACATAAATTACCTTATAGATTCAAGCGTATACATACACGTACGTGCGTATCTGTATATGCGTATGTGTATACCGGTGCATGTTGTGCATGTGTGTGTGCATGCGTGTGTATGCGTATGTATGTGTGTGCATATGTGGTCGCGCATATGTGCACGTGTATGTATGTGTATTATGCATGTGTATGCGTGTATATGCACATGTATGTATGTGCATGTCCGTGTATGTGTATGTGTACATATGTATGTGTATGATTATAAAAAACTTTGTTGTCCCTTATTATCCGCTTCTTATCAGTATTTTATCAACAATAATTTTGTATGTTTATCAGTTCAATCTCTATCATTTCTATTGCACATATAAATTTGTTAATTAATAAATTATCATAGGTAACATTATTAAGCATTGTAATCGCCTCATTATTTCACTAATTAAAAGGTATAAATTATTGAATTAGTTGAAAATTAAAATTTATAATATTTCATTAAATTTATAATATTTTTTATTACATCTTCTTGCATTATTTTAATTCTTTATTCTATTTATTGCATAAATTTGTAGAAATTTACGACATTTCAAATAACTACATTATGTTTTCCATTTCTATTTCTATTATTTTTATTCTAATTCAATTAGTAATTTGAATTCGAAAATTTTATATACGATAAATTAATAATTTTTAGGCACATTGTGCTTGCTTGTTTATTTTCGTTTCAAAATATGTTAATTATGATTGCCTGAAATTTAAGTAATTCAAATAAATTTAAATAATTCAAATTCAAATAATTATTTGTTGTTTATCGTAAAGATTACATTTTTCATATTTACATTATACAATTCATTTTTATTTTATATATAATTTGAAATATTTTTTTTTTTTGCATTTTATCACTTACCATTGTAATTTCTATCATTTTATATCATTTTAACCATTGTCTTCATTGAATTCTTTAATCATTCTTCCTCCAATCAAATATTTTCATTCTAAATAAGATTTAATTATTAGTTAATTAATTCAAATTTTCCTTAAAGATAATATTTTCATCGCAATTTTTTTGATTTTTTTTTTCCCACCTCTCTTTACATCATTGTATCATTTTATAGTTTATTTCTTTTTTCTCCCATAACATTTAAATTAATTGAAACTATTAACTACCTTAATTCTATCGTTAATAATACCAATATAATTCTTGCAGTTTGTTTCACAATATAAATCATCGTAGTAATAATATGGTTAATAACAATAATAATAATAATGATAATAATAATATTAATAATAATGATAATAATAGTAATAACATTAATAATAATGACGAAACAATAAAATGGATAAATTGGTTGGAGTTGAATTTTTATACAACAATTATTGATGATTAAATCATCAATAAATCGAATATGCATATAGTTTATGCTAATGACAAGGATTATTGTTGTTAGTGAATTACTGTTGTTAGTGACAGTATTTTAATAAATACCAAGAAAGGATATATTACATAAAGTAATAATCACAGCTATGTAAATGAAATGGATACGGTATACCAGCTGAAGTAGCAATTGGAGTTATATAAATCAAAGGAAAACGTATGCCAATTTTAAAATAGCAATTGGTCAAGACAAGGTTTGCAGAAAATTTTTGTGCATTACTTGATTGGGTGGATGATTTATGGAACGAATTAACAGGTAGAATTAGTAGTAGAAGAAATGTTAATTTTATAAATTCTGTGAATGGATGTTAATTTAAAAGGAAAAATCTTTTGGTGGAAAAAAAAGTCACTTTTACTAGCAATATTTAAAGTATTGAAAGGATGGAAAATAAATTCGTTACTTTGCGTAAATTTTGAATGATAATTTTCTTTTCCTTCTTTGTCTTATTATTATTATCATTATTATTATTGTTATTATTATCATTATCA